GAAGGCTGTTGCTGGGTTTGTGGCAGGCATGTTCTACTGATTTGGGGAGTGTGCCACTCCAGGCCTGGACAGCCTCCGGCATTTCCCTTCTCTGCTGACCCTCCTGGCCATTTGGGGACGTGCTCTCACATTTTGTGGCTCTGTGGTCTAGAGTTGCAGATTCTTCTTTTCCCTCACAGGTGGAGTTTGCATTCATGTGTGCTCCTTATCGTGTCTGGGTGAACGCCAAGAGGAAGTCTTTAAGCCAGGATATTATGACAAGACAATCCCGTTTTTAAATCTTTCATGCTAGTCAAACATTTCATTATTTCCTTTTAAGTAAAGTTTCAAGTATAGAGAAGTCTTCCCTTCATGCTACTGATTGGTTCTTGGAAGCCACATGTTCAAGTGCAGTAATGTAGAAGGAAAGCAGGTCTCGAAATCCTGTTTTAGTCGCTGTTGCCTGGGGTTGTTGATTTGTTTTTAGTAAACATTGCTGTGAAACAAGTTTGAATAAAACAATGTTAGTTGAGAAGCTTATATATGTGTATAAAAAATAAAGTGGTTTCACAGTGTTCTGTGCATAGGAATGAATGATGGTGGTAATGATGAAGAGAAGTCATGGCCATTACTCAGATTCTTCTTTAAGACAATTAGAAGTTAGAGGTCATCATGGAAGGAAGCTACGGTGTGCATGATTGATGTTTATAAACAGGAGGTGTCTTCCACTTGTCCCCCAGAGGCTGTGTTGTATAACCCAGCTCGCCCTTGGCGACACTGAGCATCAATTCCATTGCACTTACCACTCGCCACTTCCACTGTTCTTCAGCTATTCCCTTGACATTCTTGGGATGCTCAACTCAAAAATCTAGGCTGGGTTTGTTTGAAATAAATAGTGCTTTCCATGTACAAGGACAGTCGGCATGCCAGCATGGGGAAAAAAGTGTGACCTACTTTGTAAAATGTCAGTATCCAGAAGTAGAAATAATACAAGCATTAGGTCATTGAAAGACCATAGAAAAGGGGAGTTAGGAGAACAGTTCTCTATTACTCACTAACTCAGTTTGGATTTATAAATGCCAGGTTGCTGCAGTTAATAAATTCAGGTTATCTATTCTGTGCAAGAAATTATCACAAAATTTAGTGGCTTAAAAGAGCAATGGTGATGGGTGTCCTGTGGTGGTAATACCTGAGGGGCTAACCAAATGTTACCTGTTAACTTTTTAAAAACAAAACAAAAATGCCAGTGGGCAAACAGTTACAGTATACACATCTGGGGGTCGGGCTGGAGAAGAGAACGGGTTCTGTTTTGGGTATAAGTGGCCCCACTTTTGCTAAGATAGGTCAGGGAGAAAATGTATTTGTAGGGGGTCCTTGTGGGGAGATGGGGGTCGCATGGCAGAAGAGGCCCTTTGCTCCCTGGGCTCAGCTTCCGGGCTGGAGGTCAGTCACAGACAGAGCCATGTCTCCTTGACCCCAGGCCTTGAGACAGACCAGACCCGGCATAAGCAGCGAGGCCAGACCCTGGCCATTCTGATTGAGCAGAGGGAAGATGAGGCTGGCTGCGTGGTGCTCCCAGGCCAGGGAAGGATGAAAGCCAAAGTAGGAAAAAATGCAGAGGAGGAAGGGAGTGGGGAAGGCAGAGTGGACTGATGTCATAGTTTTCTCTAGAGGTTGCATTTATTTTTAGGCATGAGACAGTGAACTGAAAATATACATGGAAGCCATTCTGCCTGCTGTATGAAGATGATTTTAATGCAGCTGGTTTCATGAATGTATGCCCCTACCTTTGACTCACTGAGCTGGTACTGATGGGCCTGCTTCCAGGTTGGTATAGCACAGGGTGCTCGGAGCTCCAGTGACAAGGCCCAGATTGCCGAGCCCCATCTCTCCAGGCTGTGAAGTGACTTTACCAAGGCGTAGATCACACAACCAAATGGACTAGAACTAGGTTTTTAAAAAAGTCTGTTTGGGGTGGAAATTAGCAAGGAGTGTGCCCCAGACCTTTGAGGTCACAGAGGGGTGCTGGAGAAAGGGCAGGTCGTAGCTCGACCAGTCCTTCCCTGGCCTTGTCACAGAGCGCAGTCAAAAGAGTGTCAGGAACGAATCATCCTCACGCTCCTTGGTGGAAAGTTGGTGGGCACGTGTGTGTGTGAGGAGCGGGTAGGTAGTAAGTGGGGAGCAGGGGTGGGGAAGGGCCTCTGTCTGAACCATCAGAGGCATCTCTTCAGGCACAGGGCTTTGAGTCAGGGTCCAGGTTGCTGGAAGTTCTGATGTGCCGGCCACTGGGCCTGCCCTGTCCGGGTGAGGATGTTCCAGGAAGGGAGGGGTTTCCACGTGGAGTTTAGTGGAAAGGTAGGAACTTGACCCCACCCCAGGAAAGGATGAGATTAAGCCGAGCAAGGACCTACAAAGTAAGGGATTTCCAGGGGTGTGAGCAGGACAAAGTCTGCACCCCCACCTCATGCCCTGTGACCTCTTGGCACACCTCCTGGGCCTCTGACCCACTGAGTCCTGCCTGCTTGACCATCCTGAGCCTCCCCTTCTCCTCTGCCCCTCTTACGGTCGAGTTGGGCTGCTGCTGGAGCCAGGTACCCCGGGGGTGACGGGGGGGTGGTGTCGTCGTCTCATTCCTGAGTGTTGGGGGCTAGAGTCCAAGACCGAGGCCTGCTCCTCGGCTCATGGATGCCGCCCTCTCCCTGCTCTACGAGTGGGGTCCTTCGCTGCGCGCACCCCACGTGTCCGTGTGTCTTGTGCTGCCGCTTACAGGGACAGCGGTCCTCAAAGGCCTCCCTGGAAGACCTGACTTTCAAACCCAACCATGCTCTGAGATACCAGGGGTCAGGACCCCAGCATATGAATTTGGGGGTCACACAGAATAGCGGTGCTGGTAACAACACTCCCGATTGGCACTTCTGTCTGTTGTTTGTTTGGCCATTTGCTCCACACTCCGACCATCCCTGGGGAGGAAGGTGGACTCTGAACCCACAGTGCTGAGGTGCTCCCCTCCCCCACACATGCTTTATGGCCCCGAACACAGCCCCAACAGTCAAGCTCACGCTCCCCCCCCCCCCATTCGGCACTGGTTTGAGCCTTCTGACCCTTGCTTACTTGGGTCTTCTCGGCAGCCAGCCATTTCCAGTCTTCGGTTCGTCTTTCTGGAATGATTTCGTAGCATCACCTATTTGTGGCCATTGCCCGTGTTCCCAGTATCCCCCTCCGGCACCACTGACGCAGTAGCTCTGAAACGGGGTGCCCCCCCCTCTTTTTCCAGTCCGTGGCATACAAATAGCGCCGTCACTTTCAGTTTTCTGGCCCTCTGCTTCGGCCGTGTCATTCATTGCTTTTGTCCCAGGGCTCCCACCCTCCTGCGGAGAGACCGGGTTGCGCCTCCAGGTAACTAGGGGTCTTGCCAGCCTGACGCTCATTTTCCAGCTCCACCTTGAACTCGGAAGAGTTCTGCCTCACTCACCCCGAGTGGGTCGCCTTATTTCGGCCCCGTGTGCTGGGGGTACGGTTGTCTTCTACATAGGAAAGGTATCTTTTTTCAAGTATTGTCTGACGTTTTGAGTCCACGTTTTTTTTTTTTTTTTAAAGATTTATTTATTTATTTGTGCATACAGAACTGGGGTACAGGCCAGAGGCTCAGGGGCGGTGAGAGGCTTCACCAGAGACAGAGTGGGGAGCAGAACAGGCAGATCTACGAAGTACACTGCTGAGGGGAGCAGCGGGCGGGTCAGGAGAGGTCTGGCTCGCCATGTGGTCTCCTCCGGGGCAGGCTGCAGGCGGGAATCGAACTCATGCGGAAGTGGCTTCAGATTCTCAGTACTGTGCTTTAACCCGCTGCGCCACCAGGGAGGGCCTTGAGTCCACGTTTTTAAAGTCCATTTCTTCCTGTTTTCGTGGTGGGAGCCGCCCCTCACCCTGATCTTTAAAAACCGCTCCAGCTCTCTGACACGTCTTCCGTGGTACCCCGGGACCCTCCGTGTCCGGCTGGAGTCTGAATCTGCCAGTGTCCAGCAGCCATCATCGTTGTACTCTGGCCCAGGCTTTGTGCCTGCCTAGGCCTGGTTCTGTCCCCCACATGGTTGCGATGTCCCAGGGGACTCGGCGTGCACACGCAGAGGGGGCCACATGCCGTCCTTGGGGCTGAGCCTGGCGGCGCCTGTGAGCTCTGCGCACACGCTGGGGCGCCCGAGCTGAGTTTTAAAGCGATGGTAGAAGTTGCCAGGTGCAGTGCAAAGCAGTCAGCCTGGGGAGCCTCCAGCATGGGGGCGCAGGGGAATGAGAAGAGGGGTATGGTCTGAGCCCAGGGTGGACTTTTCCCCCGAGGAAAAATGGTGGTTTTGTTTTTAGAAAGTAGTTGGTGCTGTAATTCAGAGAACGGCTTCTTGGGAAGAGGGCAGCCCTGAGGAAGAGGCTGTAGGAAAGCCGTGAACGAGGAGGTTATTGTCACAGAAGCCAGCCGGAGAAACCCAGTGGCCAGGCCCCGCCGATGCCGGCCGTGTGCGTAGCGTAGGTTAGTGCTCTCGACAGATTATAGCTTGGGAGCTGCAGTGTGTGTTTTACCTGCTTATCTTCGTAACATCTACATAGTGTGTCACCGTGGTCATAAAAGGTAATTAATGGACGCTAATAATACGGCTCCGGAACTGTTTATTATCTTCCCACCAGACTCGAGGTGTGTGAAAAGTTGTGCCTGGATATGGTAGACCCAGACTAATGGGCTGAGCACGACAGTATTAGGAAGAGCTGACTGTAAAACGAGAGAGGAGCAAAATTGGTTTTAAAGATGCTGAAGAATAGACATGCAAATGTCCACCTGTCCGCAGCAGATAGAGGCGACTGGTCAACGAATGCACTAACATGAACTGATGCCGTGTGTTTGTGTGTGGGTGTGGGTGTGGGTGTGGGTGTGGGGGTGTGTGGGGGGTGCTGCAGCTCCGGGATCTGGCGGCCAAGGGCTCTTAGCTGGCTTAAGTGTTCTCTGACGTGCTTTTCCTTCTCACTGCTTCCTGCAGATCTCATATAACCTGCTTCCATCATGGGAGAAATAGAGCAGAAGCCAACTCCAGGAGCAAGACTGGGGGCCCCGGAGAATTCGGGGATCAGTACCTTGGAACATGGACAGAAGCCGCCCCCAACACCGTCAGGGAAACTCATGTCCATCAAAATCCAGATGCTGGATGACACCCAGGAGGCTTTTGAAGTTCCAGTAAGTCGGGGACTAGCTGTGAGCTCACGGGTGTGGGTGGCTTTGGGCTGGGGCCGTCCATCTGGGTCCTGACGGGAACGGGGGTGGGGAGGGGGGGCTGGCGCCTCCTGCCCCGTCTCCAGTGTGAACTGTAAGGTTGTTGATTCGCTGGGATGGTCTGTTGGAGATGGCAGGGGGCATCTCACTTGGATTTATATGACCCTCCATGGCCAAACAGGTTTGTGCACACATGCACACACGCGTCTTTTATAGATCTACATATACTCACACATGCGGTTTATAGACTGACAGAGACCTGCGTGCATGTCCTTTAGGTACTGACATACATAAATGTGTGCATCGAAGGGACTTGTGATCCTCTGGATGGTCCTAGCTTAAGTTGCTTATCCAGGCAGCTCCTCTTGTGCGTGTGTACGCGCACACGCGTGTCATGTGTGTACACACGTGTGTCACATGTGCCTGCACACACCACTTCTAGGTTGTGAACAGGAAAACCGGAGCTGACTGTCGTGTTTTTGTGTGGGGAGGACTGGGCGCCTGTGCATTATGGGGAGCGAGGGGTGCGCAGCCCTGGAATTGAAGACTCCGGCATCCCAGGGTCCAGGGGAGATGATGGGGCTGGGCTGCTTGGGGGCTCTGTGGCAGAGAATAGCCTCCCTCTCCCTAACCCCCAGCCACTTCTTTCCCTGGGAGCCCCAGTCTCTCGCCTTCCTCCTCCCTCAGCCCAGGGTTCTGCTTGGCAGGCCTCAGCCAGTCCACCTCGGCCCTCCCTGCGGGGGCTCCCCACCCCTTCCTGCGGGAGGGTAGGGGACCGCCCCTTGTTTGCACAGATGGAGAAGGGCTCCTTGTTCCCAGGGCAGGGAGGGTCAGGCGAGTCCCACTTCCTGGACTCTGCTGCTTGCTTGCTTGCGTTGTCTGCTTCTGTCCTTCCCCCTTCTAACTCACCCACGTGGAAAGAAGTAGCTCTTAAGTTCCAAAGAGCCAACTTACAAGCTTTGGGAACACAACCTGTTTTTAAAGCGGAGCCGATCCATCTGTTAATCCCCCTGGCCTGAGCCACCGAAACTTAATAGTCGGCATTAGTGTCTGTACCCCATCATTTAATCATTTATACGGTATGATTCACTAAATTATATTCATTTCAAAGAATATTGTCAGAGTGCGAATTACAGTAAGTGTCTCAGGGAAAGATAACCCTCGGAAGAGCTGTGTTTAAAGCTGGCAATTCTCTTGCACACTGCAGGTAACCTTTGTGTCTTCCTAATTGTATTACTGTGGAACTCTTCTCTTTCAAGGATTTGGGCCTGTCTTCCTATCCCGGTGACCCTTCATTGCTAATCCACTGAAATTATAAAAACAAAATTGAGTGCACCTGCCAGCCTTCTAGAATTAGACCTTCTGGAACATATGTCCTCCTCTCCCCCCTCCCCCCCTTCCATTTTTTTCTTTGTTGCCAGACTGGTTTGGTGAGGTGTTTAATTTCACTGTTTCCTCTTTGTTGATGGTAAGGACTTCAGAGCCCAGGGCTCCAGCTACACTTTGTGTTAGATGGTGTTTCCTGTACTCGGTTTGTTGTGTGCATGAATTACAGGTAGCACTGCCCTGCATTCAGTTGCACTTCTTCTGTTTCCTCAAACCAAAGAATGTCTGACTCTGCTCCCAGTGAAGCTTCAACTCACTGCCTAAGAAATAGAGATGTGTTCTCACCCTTGAGAGTTACTTGATCGCTGCTGACTTCTGGGCCTTGCAGTTGTAACCACTTTATCTGGAAGGAACGTTTCTCACCCTCCCTTGATAAACTCCTATGTACCCTTCAAAGCCCTGTCAATTTTACCCAGATGCTAACTTCCCGAGGCAGTGAAGGGGACCCTTTTCTTTCCTCCTCAAATCTCTTCGGTATCGGTCAGTGTTGGACCGGGCTCCTCTGCTGGGTCCATATCCCAGCCTCTACTGACCCACCAGTCACCCTGGACTTACCCTTAGTTGAGTCGCCTTTCCTGTAAAACGAGGCCAAAATAATAGCCCCTACCTCCTACTCTTGATGTTGTTTTTGAAGTGGGTGAGTTTAGAGAGCAGGGTCCTTGGGTTCCCTCTAGGAATGTGCCCCCAGAGCTCCCCTTTCAGCGGCACACAGATTCTCAGGCAAATTTATCCATGAGCGGAGGCATTAGTTATATTTAAAGAGAAGGTTTGCTAGAAAAGGGACAGGAAAGTAAAATGACCCCTGTATAGTCAGAATCGGGCAGGAAGAGCTGCCCCGAAAGGGACAGGCTTGCTAAGAGAGGCCTGCATGGTTGCAGGCCGGTGGCCTTAGGAGAGCGGCCTCTGCTGAGGGAGGTCAGTGCAGAGAAGCCCGGGCAGGCAGGAGGCCGCTGCCCTGCAGAGGGGGAGAGTGGGTGGAAAGAAGCACCTGTGCAGGCACGGGGGGGCAGGACTGCGGCCCTGGCCAGTGCAGAGACTGCCCCGTTATCGATGGCTTCTCACTCCTTGTGAGCCTGGGTTTGTTGCTGATTTTGGGTATTGTGAAGAATTTTAAAGAGACTATAAGGTTCCACCATGAGCTCAATCTCCACATGTGTACCTTCATGCCTGTACTCCCGGACAGCAGTCTGGGAGATGCCTGGGTCTTGTGTTTTGTAATCTAGGCCTTGGCGCTAAGGATCTTAGCTCCTGTGGTTGGGCTAATGGCGGTGTTAATCCCTCCTGCCCCCGCTTCAAGCTCTCAGCGTCGTGGGAGCCAGGTTTCTGGTCTTATGGTGCCTACTTTCCACTTCCTCTGTTCTTATTCTGCATCACTATTATGAGAATTAAAAAGTTGATACGAAGAGGGTGCTTGGCACAGCCATCTCGGCACCTATGAATTGCTTAAACAAGCCTGGTAAAGGCATGGATGTGGCCACAGAGCCGAGACCTGCCCCGTGGGCTCATCCCAGCACAGCACCTAGCGTGAAGTAGTAGGTGCTCACTGAGTGTTTGCTGGCTGAATATTAGGATGAGTTTATTTTACAAGTCAGTGGATGTCAGTGTTAGTTTATCCTTCCCTGTTTTTCTAGTTTGTTCAGAATATTTCTTTTCAGCTATTGGGCCACAGATGTTTTCCATAACTGCCTGTAATAAGGCTAGACTTCAGCGTTTTTATTGATGGAGCTGATTCTAAATTGCTATCTTGTGCTCTTTAAGAACAGGAAACAGCCAGACCTTCCCACAGCCGCAGGCCCTGGTGTGGTGACTCAGGAGCAGTGGAGGGTGGGGGAGCGAGGGCGAAGGGGGTGCAACAGATGACAGCGGAAGGCAGGAGACGCAGCTTCCCTGAGCTTTGTGCTGGGAAGTCCTCCAGGCCGAGGGACCTAGAGGTGTCTCCCTCCCACCTGTGACCCTCTATACTGGGTGCCACAGCGTCGGTGCTCATTGTTCAGTGGCGTTGGCCTGCAGATGAGCAGGGGGTGAGGCCAGAAGCCCTGCAGCTGCCCTTTGGGAACATTCTTCGGAGACCCTGTCTTTCCTGGGGATTGAGTTTCTTGGCCTTCTTGCTGCTCTTGCTGACAGTTTGGATGCAGGGTCGCCATTTTAAATGCAAAAGCCCTAAATACTTCAGGCCAAGCCACTAAACCGCCCTCCCCAGAGTGTCTCTGTTGCTGTATATAGCCGTTAAAAATTGATTAGTTAAAGACTTCCCTGGTGGTGCAAGGGGTTAAGTCTCGGCACTATCAAGCTATTTCCAGCTACTGCGGCTTGAGTTTAAGCTCCAGCCAGGAGGTGACCCACAGGGCGCCGCGGACCTCTCCTAACGCGCCTGCTGCCCCCTCAGCAGTGTTTCAGTAGATCCACTGTTCTTCTCTCATTCTGTCTGTGGTGACTCCTCTCACCCCCTACCCCCAGCTCTTGTACGGATAAATGAAACTAAGTCTTAAAAGAAAAGATAAGAACTCACCTTTTGAAGGGCCTTAGCTGTGACTGTCTGTCCTATTCTGCATAGCTAGTTACAGATCCACCTTTCTCTAGATCTTGGACTGTCTTTTTAGATATTTCCTCGATAGCAACATTCAACAAAATATAGAGACCATTCTCCCAAGGTGTTTCATCATTCTGTGGCGAGCACGGCACAGCGGGCATCCCCCGCGCTTTATGACATTTACTGCTTTCCTCTGCAGTCAGATTATGAGGCGAGGCCATTCCTGTAGCTGTGACAGGGTCACACACACCCCAGCCCCTAAGCCCCCTGTGGACCAGCCCCTCCTCAGGCCCTGAGAAGGTTCTGTGTGTCTTGTCCTCATGATCCCTCAGTAAACAAACGCTCTTCCTCCTGATGGTTGTGGGATGAAGCAGATGGTTTCTCCTCCAAGTCTTTATTCAGTTTATGTGTTTGTATTAGCAGGGTCACTGTGGGAAGAGGGGGAAAGAGCAGAGGAAATCGAGGGGAGCCATTTGGTGCTGCTTGTGCACAAGCCAGCAAGTAGGTTCCCGTTTGACTGGGTTTCCAGTCTCCGCTGAAGAGTGAGCCAGGGTGGCTGCCTGGAGGTGGTGGCACCGCCAGCTGGCTGTGGTCCCCCACAACCTCCCAGGATGTGCTCAAGCTTCCCTACACCTGCGCTTTGCTTTCCTGGGAAACTTTGGTAGCTTTCAGAGCGGGAGAGAGCCGTATGTACACCTCCTCTGAGTGTCTTGTGCGCGGTGGTCTGCTGAGGTTCTTAGGGGTATTAGAATGTTTGCACCAGTGACTCCCTGGTCCGGGTGGGACTTCTGCATTGCGTCTCATGCCAGAACTTTCTGCTTGTTCATGTGCCGAGTTTGACTTTGTCAAAAAGTTTAAACTTGGTGTTTTCACACATTTCAACATTGCTCTTGGACTTCTGCTTACCATCTCTGATATCTTTTTATAAAACTAATCAATCTATGACTTGAGAATTAGCTCAAAACAAGTTTATCTGGTCACTGGAAATGAATAAATGAAATAAAAATTTCTCCCTAGTGCAACAGCACTGCCGTAAGTATCATCTTAT